AAGAAGAATTAATTCCAAAACCTTCAACTAAACAACCAAAAAATATTCCTTCAACGACTTCTGAATTAAATCAAAATTTGGAAGAAGAAAGTTCAGACTCGTCTTCTGAAGATGATGAAAGTTATGCTTCTGAATCTTCAATTCCAACAATTTCAAAAGAAACAAGAGAAGAACTTGTAGCTAAAATTAGACTTCGTTTTGCTGTTTGTGAATTTTTTGAGAAAAATTTTTTTAAATTCTTTTTTATTAGGAAAGAAGCAAATTAGCAAAAGAAAAGAAGACTACAGATATTTTACGTTCTCCAATTATTTGTGTTTTGGGACATGTCGATACTGGAAAGACTAAAATGCTTGACACGGTTTGGATTTTTTTCCCAAACTTCTTTTTCATTTTCTCCTTTTATTAGATTCGTCGAACCAATGTTCAAGAAGGGGAGGCTGGAGGTATTACACAGCAAATTGGTGCTACTCGGGTACCTGACTTGGCTATTAAAGAACGGTGTAAAATGCTCAAAAATGTAATTTAAAATTTCTTAATAATTTTATTTTGTCATTTTTTTTAGTTTTCCGGTGATTCAATGAAAATTCCAGGATTTTTGATTATTGATACTCCTGGACACGAAAGCTTTGCGTATTTTTTTGAATTATTTAGTAAATTTAAATTCTATTTTTTAAAGAAATATGCGATCACGTGGCTCTTCTTTGTGTGATTTTGCTATTTTAGTTGTTGATATTATGCATGGCCTTGAACAACAAACAATTGAATCGTTAAAATTGTTAATTAAAAGAAAGACGCCCTTTGTTGTTGCGTTGAATAAGGTTTTCTTGTTTACTTTTTTGAATTATTTAATCTATTATCACCTAATTGAGTTTGTAAGGAAAGAAAATTATTTAGTTACTTGGTAGTTGAATCGTTAGTGAACTTGAATTTGGTACAGTTCGATTCATTTTTTGAATTAAAATGAATATTTTGTCGAGGGTTTAATGAATCTTTTAAGGATTAAATTTTAAAGATACTCACACCAGTGGTTAAATCGGTGTACGACATACACAATTTGTTAGGCTAAAAATTGGTGATAGGAAATTGAGAAAATTGAGATTTATAATTTAAACAAAATCAAAAAATTTTTTTTTCAGGTTGACAGACTTTACAAATATGAATCGAATCCAAGAAAAGATATTTGGCAACATATGAATACACAACCAACAAATACACAATTAGAATTTAGAGAGCGTTTTAATAAACTTATTGGGGAATTTTCTGAACAGGTTTAATTTTTTAATTTAGAAAAAAATTTTTTGTTTGTTTTATTTTTAAGGGAATAAATATAGAATTGGCAAATAAAAACACAAATTTTGATGAATATGTAAGTGTTGTCCCAACTTCTGCTTTTTTGGGTGATGGAATTGGGAATTTAATGGCACATATTGTAGACCAATGTCAAAATAGATATCTTGAAAAACTTGCTTTTTCTGAAGAGCTGGATTGTATTGTGATGGAGGTTTGTTGGGGGTGATTGATATAGAGGCGAGGCGTAGTCAGGGGGTTCAACTGGAAATTTTTCTATTTTCGATTTTGAAGATCTCTTTGTTATTCTCTCGTTTTTGTTGTTTGTGGTTGGTTGAGTCTAGAATACAGGTTCTACAAAACCATAAAAATCATACTTTTATCTGCAATTTTCCTCATTAAATTTTTTAGGTTCGTTCTCTTCCTGGTTTGGGCACAACAATAGATGTTATTTTAATTAATGGTACTTTGCGTGTTAACGATATTATTGTTCTGACAGGAAGTGATGGACCTATTGCAACGCCTATTAGGGACCTTTTAATGCCTCAGGTTTTTATATTTGTGTAGGACTCTAATTTTCAAGACTGGTAATGTGTAGAGTAAAATGCTACTATTTAAAGGGTGCGGAAAATCATAAATTAAGGATCCCTTCACAGGGTTGAGGTTCAAAATGTCGACGTCATTTCTTTGGATCAATCCCGTTTGTCATTTAAACTAACAGTAAGGATTTCGGAACGAAATCTCTAGTATCCATTGAATATGACATGTTTGGCTAAGGCAAGGCAAAATAAAGAATTTTTAGAAAATTGAAAAGATGTTCGATCCCTATAAGTGGAAATCAAAAAATATTTCCAAAAATATTTTTTCTTTAAGCCTTTAAAAGAAATACGTGTAAAAGCCGATTATGAGCATTACAAAGAAATTAATGGTGCACAAGGAATTAAAATTTTGGCAAAAAATTTAGAGAAAGTAATTGCCGGTCTTCCTTTATTTGTTGCACATCGTGAAGATGAACTTGAAGTTTTAAAGTTTAATTTTAATAAAAATTTAAAGAAAAATTAATTTTTTACTTTATAGAATGGATGCTGAAGATCAATTAAAAAATGCTCTTATGGCAATAAAAAAGAAACCTGAAGGAGTTTATGTTCAAGCGAGTACTTTAGGGTCTTTAGAAGCGCTTTTGGAATTTTTGAAAGCACAAAAAATTCCGGTATGGTTTTTTAAAATTTCATTTATTACACTCGAACCTCGTTATAAGCTACTCCTCGGGACTGAAAAATTGGGCTCTATTACACAATATATGTACGTCCAATCAACTATTATGCGCCCAATCAAATTTTATACGTCCAAACATATTTTTATCATCTGTTGTTCGACCATAAAATTTTTAATTTTCTATTTAAAGTATTCAAATGTAAATATTGGACCAGTCCATAAAAGAGATGTACAAAAAGCAGCAGCAATGCTTGAACATAATTCTGAATTTGCCTGTATTCTCGCTTTTGACGTTCCAGTGGATCGAGAGGTTCAATTGTTGGCTGATAAAGAAGGAGTGAGAATATTCCAAGCAAATATTATTTATCATTTGGAAGAAAGCTTTTTGAATTATAGGTTAGTTTTTTTCAATTTATTTAAAGTGAAAGAGGTTGGGATAGAGATGATTTTTGGTTGTGGATACACACCAGAGATGTCACTAGTTATCAGATTTCCGAAACCTGGGCTTTTTTCTCAACTCGCAACATCCCTGATAACAAACCGATTTGTCGAAAGTTTACAGCGGTTGATGAAAGTATCAAGTCATACCATCTTGGTATTATTTGGACATACGGTAGATATATCAAAATATGATCCGTTCTAACAATAAGAATTGAAGTCTGATTCTGTGGTAGAGAACACGATAGATCGACTAAATTTTTTACTTTTGGGCATGGGCCTGGATTAGGGCTTTATACTATCTGAAAACTATTCACGATTTTCAAAAAACGGGTGGGTAGCTTTAGTTCAATTCTTTATAATTCATTTTTCCTTAAATCCTTACGTACCAAATTATTAATTTCTAATAAAAAATTTCTTTTTAAGAAAAGAATTAGCTCTTAAACGACGTAAAGAAAATGAACATTTGGCTATTTTTCCTTATAAATTACGTGTTTTACCACAACATATTTTTAATGCAAGAAATCCAATTGTTTGTGGCGTTTCTGTGGATGCTGGGCAATTAAAGAAAGGAACTCCTGTTACTGCTAAAACTAAAGAAGGGGTTTGTTTTGATTTTAAGTTTGAAAATTTTTTTGAATCTTTAAAGCCTGTATTCCTTGGAACAATTTCTTCAATAGAAAAAAATCATGAACAAGTAGATATGGCTAAAGCTGGTGATGAAGTTTGTATAAAGATAGAGAACACAACAGGAGATGCACCAAAGCTTTATGGAAGACATTTTACTCATGAAGATATTCTTATTAGCAAGGTTTGAAAAAGTTTCTTTCTTTTTCTTAAGGATAATTAATTGTACAAGGGAACCTGGAAATTGGGTTTTCATTCTTGAAAGAACGCTCAGAAAAATTTGAGAAAACTTTTAGAATTAAATCTTTTATATTTAAATATATTTTTAAGATAACTCGAGAATCTATTGATGTTTGTAAAACATATTTTCGTGATGACTTGACAAAGGCTGATTGGCAATTAGTTATTGAACTAAAAAGAATGCTAGAAATTTTATAAAAAAATAGTTAGAGTAAACAGATTTAAAAGAATATAAAAAGGTGATGTATTAAATTGTTATTTTATATTATTATAAATGTACACAATCGAAAAAAGAGAAATATTAAAAGAAAAAGAGAAAATAAATTTAAAATGTGACAAACTTTTAAAGAAAAAAGATCCTTCAAGACGAAGTAAAAAGTTCACCCAAAGGTGGTAGAGTTGTACTTGCAGCGATTTGTGAAAGGTCTATATAAAGTTTTTAAAAAATTAGATAATTCAAACAGAAATTAAAATAACCCCTCAATTTTCAGATTCGAAAATTGGTTTGGGAACAATTCAGAAAATTTCCCTCTTTTTTCTAAGGGAAGTAAAGGTATCACGACTTTTGCGCCGTGAACATTTGCGCCGCGACTTATGCGCCGCGACTTTTGCGCCGGGCGACTTTTGCGCCGCGACTCTTGCGCCGCGACTTTTGCGCCGGGCGACTTATGCGCCGCGACATTTGCGCCGCCATTGTTTAAAAAATCCGGATCCGAAAAATGCCGGACATCCAAAATTTTCAGTTCGGATATCAGATCCGGATATCCGAAGATTTCCAACTATCCGACAACCCTACTAAAGTGAGGTCCGGCTGTAGTTATTGATATATTTTTAATGATAGTGGCGGCGCAAAAGTCGCCCGGCGCAAAAGTCGCGGCGCAAAGGTTCCCCGGCGCAAAAGTCACTCGGCGCATAAGTCGCGGCGCAAAAGTCGCGGCGCAAGAGTCGCGGCGCAAATGTTCTCGGCGCAAAAGTCACGGAACCGGAAGTAAAGGGTCTCCTTTTCCTTTCCTCCCCTCCTTTCTTCAAGGCAATCTCGAAACGAAACTTTCATGGGCTCTGATTCGAGCAAGATCGGCCCAATTTTAAAAAAATCATCCCCATATCGAAACATTTCAAAAAACGGCAAGAGAATTGTTCAAATCGGTAGAAAATTAAGGAAGCATTATGCCCAAAAAGTTTAAAAAAATAAACTAACCTGGCAAAGAATCAATGTGCTTTGCCAACTAAAATTCATTTTAAAGATTTCAAAAAAATAATTTAAAAAAACTTCTTTTTTCTCAGCATCCAACCTTGAAATTCCCTTTTTAACAGAATCAAGTAGTGCTTTATTTCGTTCATTTGCTTGGTCTAAAGCCTTTATATAATCTGCCATAAGATATTGAAGATTTTGACGTTCTTTAAGTTCGTCTTGTAATCTAGTGCAATATGCATCGACAACTAAAATTTAATAAAAATTACAGAATAAACCATAAAGGTGTAAAATCATAAAAACTACACCACAAGAGGGGTCGAACCATGACCAGAATAACCCACCAAACAAATAACTAAACCGTTACACCAATCCATACATAAACAATAAATTTTAACTCCCATTAGTTCCAAAAAAGGTATTTACCCGGCACAGCCTCCACAGTTTTAGCCATCAAAGCAGCTACTCCCTCTGAAGTTTTGATTTCTTTAAGAAGGAGAGGGTTAGCTATAGCTTCAGGATATGCAGCAATTATTTGTCTACAAAATAATTTTTTAGAGAAATTATAAATAAATTAAACCTAATTTTTACGTCTGCCGATGCGGGGTCTTCTAAACGTCTAAGGAGGTTAATCTGTGAAACAAAAAATAATTTTTTAAATAATTTCAAAACAAACCATATTTGTACTGAGGCTAGAAAATGCATGAAACTCTTCTTTGATTTTCTAAAAATGAGAGAAAAATAATAAAAAATAAAGGTCTTTTACTCTCGGTTTCAGATCCAATAAACAACTTTATGGGAAACATAAACTAGAGCCGACCCAAAAAATCCAAAATTCAAAAAATCCCCGCCATGCTCCCTCCTCTGACCGAGTCCTAACAACAAACCTTAGAATTGTCCAAAGAACTTCCTGGAGAGCCTGAAGGTAACAAAGGAGAATCCGTCCGAATTGGACTTTCTGGATCAGAAATAAGATTTGGAGTTGAAATGGACGTTTCTTGAAGGCAATTAACGAGTAAATCCAAATTTTCTGTTGAATAAATTCCCCTTTCTCTCCAAACAGACAAAATTCTTTCTAGCAATTGTCTGTGGTATTGATCGGCATTTTTTGAAATGTGACTGAAAAATAAAAAAAAATTTAGAAGTCCGCAAAAGTTATACTGAACGAAGATGGGACGATTTGAAAAAAAAGGTTTAAAAATTTTCTTCGGAACGGGTCTCGGTTACAGGTCGAAAAAGATACATTAAAAAAACTTTCTGATCAAAAAAATTAAAACCCAACCTAACAGCAGGTTGAAGAACTTCGTAAAAAGCGTTCATAAAAGCTGGGGCTTTTTTTCTAGCATTTTGAATAACATCATTAGCCAAATTCATTAAACTTAAAAGACGTTCACTGTCTGTAATACTTCGAACTTCCTATTTAAATTTAAAAAATTAAATATAATTTTGGCATTTGTCGGATGAGGGGCTTTTTTTTGCGGAATTCTATTCACAACAAAAAGTTCACAAGAAACAATTCAGCAAAATCTCAAAAAGTGTCCGTAAAAATAATCAGCAGAAAATTCACAAAAAGCCCCCTCCTTCTACACAATCTCAGAAAAGAACCTTTAACCAAGTATCCAAAATAGCATCAGCATTCTTCTTTTGATGATGTAATATCCACATTGATAATGTTTGTATTGAATGTGTTGTGTTTGTTAACTTCGTAAGTCTTTCACGCATTGTAAATTCTGAGAAACCACTCATTTTTATGGCTGGAATTATTCTAAAAAATAAAAAAAATACATAATTTAAACCTGCAAAAAATTATTTAATCAAAGCTTAACAAAAAACAGAATGGGCCGGTTAACGACAAATTGCCAATAAAGGCATAAGCGATAGATTGCCAATAAGGCAAAAACGACAAAGTGCCAATAAATGCATAAACGACAAAATGTCAACAAGTGAATAAACGACAAATTGCCAACATGTGTATAAGTGACAAATTGGCAATAATATTACCATTCACAAAATGAACCTTAATTTTTAATCTAAACTTTAGAATCCATAACAAATTACGAGTTTTTCTACACAAAACATCCCCCTAAGAGCTTCTTTATTTTCCAAATTTATCCAAATAAATGTAAGTACATAAAATCTTTAAAGCAAAAAAGAAATACTAAAGCCCTCCAAAAGCTTTTCGATCATTTCTCTACAAAAAAACTTTAAAAGTGTCAGTTGTTATACATAGATTTACTACTTACTACTACACCTTTTTTCCTTCTTGCGGTGTTGTTTCTTTTCTATTAAAATTGTCCATCCAATTTCCCTCATAACATTAACAAATCTACACTAATTCTTCTTAATATTTCTTTTCTTTTTTTGATTAGTCAGAAAGTTTTAAAAAATTAATTTTTTTTATTCGAGATTATGGGGGGTTATTCCTTATTTACTTTTTATAAGGGAGGAGCTCAGTTAATAGAACATTTGAACTCAATGGTTAGCGAAGCTCCTAGCAATTAGGTGGTAGGTTCGCTATTCCTGCGCGGGTAGATTAACTTGACGCTTAATTTTTACTAACAAGGGAACATTGCCTACTGTGTATAAAAACTTGGTACTTTTTAGTCGACTTCCTATTTCGAAGTGATGCGGGTCATATCGAGCTAACTCAAGGAGGTCGTGGGTTCGAATCCGAGTGGGAAAAATAATTTTTTGAAAATGCAAAAGTGGACCCCATTTTAGTACTTTTATAATGATATTTTATCTCCACACATTTTTTAGACTAGAAAAACATGTGTTTGAATGTGTTCATAAGCTGAACCCTTACCAAATTCCTGTACACAATAAACGATATTCCCTTGTAAGAAGAATATAGGTAGATTTTAATAGCTCAATATAAGACTATCCTTATAATGACTTTTCTTTACATAATTTCGACTAATCATCCCAAATCAAAAAAATAAAATCTTCAAACACTCTTCTCTCTTTTTAGCATGTTTTATCCCTTCACACGTGCAAAAATAAAATTTATTTTAAGTAGCGGGGGCGAGAAAAGCATCTCCACCTCTCTTTCCTTGGTTTTTCAACACACTTAAGCAAGTGTTTGCAAAAAATAAAAAGGAAACACAAAAAAACTGTTTTTATATTAAATAATCTTCCTATTTATTATTTCCACACCTTTTCATAAAGAAAAAATCTTTTAGAGGGGCATTTTGCTGAAAAGACTTTTGACAGATTTATTGGGAACTACATAATACCATGAGGGCCTTTTACTCCAAGTTTCTGTTTACAAAAGCACAGAACTTCTTTTTGAGGAAGAAGCGTCTGTTCTCTCCTGCATTATTTTTATTTAATTTGTCTGTTCTTTCCCTGTATTATTTTTATTTAATTTTCAGTGAATTGTGTTTTCAGTCAATTACCCCCAAAATTGTTTTTTTTCGCAACAAAATCTACTAATATTAGGGTGTAACATAAATAATTAGCCCCCCTTGAGCAAAGTCAAATAAATATTTATTAAAATTAAACTAAATATTTTCAGACTTCGAATTATATTTTTCTATGATCATAAGAGAGTTGCCTATTTTCTGGCAAAAAATTAGAATTCTAGGTTTAGGTTGGCCGGAGTTAAAATTGAAATACTAAAGCTTGTATTTTTGAAACAAGGCAAATTCTTTTTGATTTTTCTCTGAAAAATTGATGAGTAAGAATGAAAATTTAAATAGATTCTGATAGAGCAGAATCTGATGAATACAATGATATAAGAAATTCCCCTGGAAAACAACTGGCTGATTTTTTAGAGGGTCGGATTTGTGAAATAGGGGCTAGCTTATGCTGTTTTAGGATAACTCTCGCGCGAAAATGCCTAGCGAGGCCAGGCGACCAGATTTTTCAATGGACTTGATCTATATGGGAATAATACAATTTGGGGGTAATAGTTTAGCCAGTTTAAACTAAATTCCAATGATTACCCCGCCGCGACACCACCAAATACATAACAGATCACGCTATTGGACCAGTCTGGATTAGAGGTAAAAATTGATGGTTAGCTGGGATGAGCCGTTCCTTTTTGTTTACAGAATTCATGAAGGCAACCCACTTTTTATTATAGGTTAAAATTTGTATCAAACAAGGGGCTTCATTATGGCGTTTAAGGGGTTGTTTTGGAAAAGTGACTTAGCGATTTTTTTGATTTTGCGGCAATTCATGGGGTATCAATCGACTTTTCATAACTTGATACCCGCTTCAAGTAAAATTATGGTAATTTTTGTAAGTGAGCAGGTGAGTGCCTGCCCCAATATACACATTTTATTTTTTGGATTGGCTTTGATTCAGGGGAGAACGGCATCTTTATCTATCGTTGGTTGGCATCCAAGATGTTTTTTGTCTTTCAGCTCCTCTCTACCTTTCTTTTATTTGGAGACCCAACTTTTTTCTGTGGAATAGGAGATAACATCCTCATACTTCGCTATGCATATTTTGCGCCATGATTCCCTTTCCGAATGTCCAAGTTCAATCTCATATTTGAACTGGACGCTAATTTCATAATTTTGCCTTAAACTTTAAAAATTCATAAAAAATTTTTAAATAAAGAAAAAATTTCAAATCTTTCAGAAAATGAAGAAGGCATTATTATGAATATATGACAAAAAAATTAAAAAGATTGGAAATCTGAACATTGAGATATACATTTTCAAACTTTAATGATTTAAGGGGGGCTAATTATTTATGTTACACCCTAATATTTAGTTTTTTCTTGTCCACTTTTAATGTCCACTTCCTCTGGCAATTTTTATGCTTTTGACAAAATTTATTCTTTTGGTCTTTTTATCCGTCTTTTTTTCCGTCTTTTCCATATAAAAATCGAATTTATAAAAATTATTTATAAAAAAAACTTTTTTGCTAAGTTCTAAGACTTTGAAAAGGTAAAGGTGAAGAATACGTACCACTCACAAATATGGACAAATTATATGTCATTTGAAAGAGCTCGGCGAGAGGAGTCGAATGACATCAAAATCAACTGGCGGTCTCAACTTTGAGCTGAGATATAGGCCCCTGAAAATCGAAAAACCATAGGGGGGAGTAAGCTCAATTTTGGAGTGAAAATTTCGAATATGCAAATAATAGCTCATTCGAAAGAGCTCGTCGAGCTGAGTCGAATGACACTAAAATCAACGAAATCCGACTTGATTGGACAAAGTTATAATCTTTTCTTTTAGCTCCTTACCTATGTCATCTGTGGAGATTTTTGCTGCCACGGAGGCCCCAAATACGTCCAGAGCAAGGGAGATAGGAATAGGTTTATGTTACGAGCCCAGACCCAGCGCCCGTAGACTCCCCGCGAGGCGCGTGCCGCAAAACCCCGCGCGAAGCGCGGGGTTTTGCACAAGCGCCTCGCCGACGCCCAATAGGTTTATGTTGACCATTTTGAGCTTGTTTATCTCGTCTCAAAATTAAGATTTCGAGCTGATTTTGGCGTCATTCGACTCAGCTCGAGGAGCTCTTTCAAATGAGCTATCATTTGTATAATATCATTTTTACAAGTATTTGATAGATATTTTTGACCGTTTTGAACCCCTGTATCTCAGCTCAGAGTTGAGACCGCCAGTTGATTTTGGTGTCATTCAACTCCTCTCGACGAGCTCTTTCAAATGACATATAATTTGCCTATATTTATGAGTGGTACGTATTCTTCACCTTTTCCCTTTGAAAATCAATCAGGCCTCACTATAAGATACGGGCAGAAAAAATAGTCTTTTATAATGAGGTGTGTGTTAAATAGGGGGTATAGTTTTTCTTCTTTCTACAGTTAAACCTCGCTTTTAAACCCATCGACTAAAACGTACCTTATAATGAGTTGTACGTTAAATAGAGGTGTATTTAGTATTGAGGGTATCTTATAATGATGTTTGAATGTATAGGTAAGCAAGAGATTGGACCGATTTAATCAACTAGAAAAGCAAAATTGAAATTATTGGTTAGGTGGATAAGAGCCCTGACTACAGAATGTCCATAAACTTAGGGGTCATGGGTTCGAATCCTTCCATGGAAAATTTTTTTTCAATTTTCAGAATATTTTTTTAAAAAATGTCTTCAAAATTTATTTATTTTCCAATTTTATTTTTAATTATTTTAAACAATTCTTGGGCAAAATGGGCATTTTTATCAGACCAATCCAAATGCAATTTGAATTGTTTAAATGGAGGGGTTTGCTCTTTTTTGGTTAAAAAACCGGAAGTACATAAATGTATTTGTTTAATTGGAATGTTTGAAGGACCTCAATGTGAACAGGCTATTGGTAAATTAGTTTTGATTAGGCGGGAATGGGGAAAACAAATGGAGGTAGTCGGAGTTGGATTGTTGGAAGTTGGAAATTTTAAAAAATTTGCGATTGACCAGACGTGGTATAATAGGTGATGAGTAGGGTTGTTCACTACCGGTTAAACGAAATCGGGGTTATTCCTGTATTTTTATCAAGAACAACCATGAGTGTTCTAATAGAACCACATGTTTTTTTTATTTTTCGATCCTCTCGTAGTATGCTTCTTTCAGAGAGTTTGGAGCATTTATGGTATCCAATTCATATTTTACACAATTAAAATGTCTCATTGAAATATTCTATAAATCAGGCACCGAATTCTTTTTATTTAACTCCGTAAGTTTAAGAATTTGGCTAAGTCGTTAAATCGGATTTTGCCGCTCTAACTTTTAATTCATTTACCTTTTGAGGGGGCCCGCTCTTTAATTAATTAATTTAATTATTAATAGACCAAAATATACAAACAACAACGCCAATATATACTTC